CAACTTGGTACAGGCCACTGATATGGCTTGCCGACTACCACTGATGGCCGGTCGGCCACCAGTGTCTTTTGTAGATATTTTATGTCAGTTGTGCCAACTGTTTGCATAGATGCATGTATCTTCACCCACGTGTAGGACTGGATGTTTTTGAGGGAACTGTTTGGTTCTCTATATATAAAAGACCTCTCATATAATTTTGAAGGTTAGAAAATTTTGAGCTTAAAAATTCTCCTCTCTCTCTACCAAATCTCTATAATTTTGCTTACGATTCTTCAACCTTTGCCTATATACCCTAAACCAAATCTCTTCACCTTTGAGCTAACGTACTTTTGAGCTTGGTTTGAGCTCTAGAGGGTGTTGTTTGCTTGTGTTGTTGCTTGGAATTGTTTCTTCTCTTCAAGAGGTATAAAGTTCTACCTATTTGCTTGCTTGCTTTGCTTTTATTCCTACTGTTTTTCCATTGTTTTGGGTTGTCAAAACTCTGTGTTTTTTGGGCTGAGGCTTGGGTTTAAGGCCATTAAAGGTTGAGGGATTGATAGCCCTTCTTTATACCTTGTTTTGGAGGCCTTTGCCCTTGTGTTTCCCACTCTTTTATTATCTTTTTCCAAACTTTTAAACACTGATTTTTAGAGCTTTTTCAGTGGCCAAAATCATATTTTGAAGTCCAAATTTGGAGGGGTTAGCCTCCTCACCTTGTGTCTTGTTTACTAGCCTAGTTTATGCTATGTGTTAGCTTAATTTTCTAGCCATTTATAACTTAATTCCAGCATGTTTTAACCACTGATTAGAGTGTTTTAACTCTATTTTGGGTTGGTTAAGTCATTTGAGTCTTGTTTTGCATGCTTATAGTGTAAGTGTCCCCACAAGTTTGGTGTTTTAGGTCTTTCGACACGACTTGTTTGAGTTGATTGCATTGTTCTAGTGTTTTTCTCACTTAATTTCAGAAAGCATAATCTCTACAATCTCCCTTATTTCTTCACTCTTTGTTTACTTTGAGGGCTGTTTCAACCTTCGGATTGTTTAAGCTTGAGATTGGGGTCCATGCTTAATGGTTTAATCCTTTTTTGAGGGTTCATTATCAACGGCATGACACCTCTCTCTTGCCTTAAACTATCCCTTGTTTGACACTTCCTTCTCCTTTAGAGGACGCAATTCACCATTGGACTTAATTGATTAAAGGATGGTTGGTAAATTAAAAGGAGTAACTAAAAGTTGAAACTAAAATTGTGTAAAGATAAAAATTTGATTATGTGTTGGTTATGTTTAATCGGACGTTAATTGAACACATTGAAGCTTGGACCATTTCATATTTGCTGGTGATGAAATAATCCAAGTCTCCAAGGTCAACCACTTCCCTTGATCTTTCATGAAAGGGAGGAGGTTTGTGTCTTTTTTTTCTTTCATTTATTGACCTTGCACTCTTGGGTTCACAAGCCATCATGCAATAAAATTGCTTGAATTGGTGGTTTGTGGCTTAGGTTCACCACTTGTTGGGTTTTTTCATGAAAAAGAGGGGTGAGTTGTGCAGATAATCCTTGAAAACACCCTATATATGCTCTGTTAGTTCTCTGTTGCAGCAAGATGAACCTAGGCATTAGTGGCTGGCAGGTAGTCGGCAGACCACTTCCATAGCCAGTTGGTGGCCAGCAACCTTTATCTTTGGCCGGCTGGCCACTGAAACAAAACTCAGTAGATTGTTGGTAAGGTGGAGCAAAGTTATTCTGGAAGTGTTTAACTGTGCAAACAGAGGCATTTAGAAGCAAAACAACGGTGTTTTCAGGTAGAAACCGTGCATGTACATGAACATTTCTCATTTCTCAAGGCGGAGTAGTTAATTGTTTAGTTTAATTATTAATTGCAATTATGTTGTAATTCTTTAATTAGTTAAGTAGTTAACTAGTTATGATGTAATGATTTTAGTTAGCATAATTAGTTTATTTGTTGTTGTAATAATTAGCTTTAGCTTTAGCTTTAGCTTAGCTTTAATTAGTTAACTAGTTAGCTAGTTTATTCATTCGGACTCTCCTTCGTGAGAGCGAAATGATGTAATAATGTGTATGTCTTCCAACCCCACGACTTTCTCCCTTTTATTTAATTGCTTACGATGGTTAGTTTAGGGACATCATGTTTCAATTAGCATTCTTCATGTTTGCATCCATTCGTATTACATGCTTCGAGGCTTGGTCCATCATTCTAACTGTATTGTGGTTTAATACTTCTTTGAATATGTGCTTAGACCGCATGTTATCAAATTGTTCCATATCCCATGTTTAGTAGTCGAGCCTAGTAAATTGCATATCGCATGTGTTGCATTAGTCATATCACAAAGTTAGGAATCATGCATTTTTCTAACTAGTTTCTCTTTTGGCTTGAAGTAGTAGGTGAGCCTTTACACGCTTTAGCATCTTGCATGAAATGTTGATGTTGCCATGTTTAGCATGCTTGCCATGAGGCTAATTGCTTAAGTGCTATAACTACTTGAATGCTTGTGGATAAAGGCTTGTTGTTTTAATTGGAATGATTCAATGAATGTACGTTTAAGCCCACTTTGTCAAGTGACAAATTTACAAACTTTAAGCCCACTTTGTTAAGTCGCAAAATCAAACCCTTTTCAAAAAAGCAAACATGAAATTGAATTATTCCAATTTGAACAAACTAGTCTATACCTTGTGTGCGCGCATCACATAGTAAATGCTAGCCTAAAAATTAAAAAAAAAAAAAAAAAAAAAAAAAAAAACCGGAACAAGAGCATATATTGTTAATAAAAATCATATCATGATTAGTAGAGGACAATCTTTGATCGGGTGAACGTGGGTGCTCAATTCATGACATTCCCCTCTCGTACCTAAGTTGCCGAGCTGAGACAATCTTGGTGATGATGGGCACGTGGCCTTTGGCACTAGTCATGGGTTTTCTAAATTTTTCAAAAATATTTAGGTAGCGACTCTGTTTCTGGCAAATCAGTCCATTTTTGACATTTTTGATTCAAAATCGATTTTCCAAAAGATTTGCCGGATTTGGACTCTTTGGTGTTTATCAATTTCATATTTCACTTGTGAGATTAGATTCAGAACCACGGGAGTCCGAATTGTAAGGTTTATATTCCAATTTTCGAAAGAGGGAGCGAAAAAAGTGTAGCTACAGTTTCTGGCAACTCTGCTGGGGATTTAGAGAACTTGACTCGAACTCATGACATAAAATTTTATCTACACTTATATGTTTCTTTGCATTGCATTTGCATTGGTGCATTTAAGTCATTGTGTTTGCCATCTGCTATTCCTGGACGGTTTGCCGAAGGCTTGTCTAAAAAGCTTGCCAAAAGGTTGACCGGTCACGGGCTCTACCATAATGGGAACATAACCCTTGAATCTGGACTATCGCTGTACCGTTTGATCCACCCTTTACTTTTTGGTGTTAGGTGCGAAAGGTATATTACGTAGTCTTGCCGAGGTACCCCTTTTGATCATTTAGCCTAGTTACATATCGAAAGTCGTAGAGACTATTCCAAACTAGGACAGGATGCTTACCTGAATACAGGAAACCCACTTTGTTTGAATAATGAACCCTATGTCACGCCCCGAGAATTTATGTGACACAAAGAGCAGCGTTTTAGGTGTACCGAATGCGCTGGAAGGTTCCGGAAGGTGTAAGAACGGTCTAGAGTATGCAGGAAGGCTCTAGAACGTGGTAGAAGGGTCCGGAGTGGCCTAGAAGATTCTGGAATGTGGTGGAAGAACCTTGGAGGGTCCAGAAGAGTCTGGATGGGTCTGGAACATCCTAGAATATCATGGAGAAGCCTACCATGTACTACACTAGTATAGAGAGTTCTAGAAGGTAGTAGCAGGGTAGTTGTCCTAGATATTTCTATGGAGGGTTCTAGAGGAGAACTTGTAGCCCTTGGATCAAAATGACCCTAGCCATCAATTGAGGAGGTGAATGGCTATATAAAGGGGAGGGGTCTCATTTGTAAGGCATCAATCCAAGAGATCCAAGAGAGGAGATCCAAGAGAGCTCTAAGAGTAAAGCACTTGTGAGGGTGAGAGCCTTGTAAAGCTTTGTACACAACTATACTTGTATAGTGAATACATTCTTCTACCTAAACTTTGTGTTTTAGTTAGTGTGGTTGAGTGGGGAAGGCTGACTTAAGTGCAACTAAGTGGGTTGATGTGACGACCCCACTGCGTATAATGAATAACACTTAATCAATTAAGGAGATTTGAATTCTAATTGCCCATTGTTCTAATTTAATTTGGGGTCATAAGAATTATTTAGTTTGATTCGTATATGATTCTATTGAGGATTTATTTTGGAATTAGAAATTGAAAGCCAACATGGCTCAAGAGAGTACGAATGGTGGATTAAATTATTTTAATTTGCAGTATCGGACCATATGGGAGTTTAATTAAATATTCGATTTAGATTTATAAATTGAGATTTGATTAATTGGGTCCGAATTGGAGTTAATTAAATATGTTATTTATTGTTGAAAATTTTGAGTCTGATCAGAAATTAAAGGCTTAAATGATTTAAGAAACCAAAATTGAGGATGGAAATAAGTTTAATTTAATATTTGGAGCCTTTTGGGAGTTCGATTAAAAATTTGATTCGGATTGATAAATTTAAATATATTTAATTAGGCTCTAATGGAAGTCAATTAGACTAATTAAGTAATGTGAAATTTATGATTAGTTATGATTGATTTAATTATGTACTAATTAAGATTCATTAAGACCAATTGTTATTTAATTAAGCTAATTTTTAATCATAAACTAAACTATGAAAGAATCTAGAATTGTGGGTGTATGTGAGTGTGGTGTAGTGAGCAATTTTGTGGGTGTAATAACAAGTGTGTGGGCACGTGTCATGTTGTTGGGCAAGAAGGGAGGTGTGTGTGAGTGTATAATCTAGTGGGTTCAAACTTGTACTCAACCATGAGTAGAAAACACAATATAAGAGAGAAAGAAAAGGAAATGAAGGCATTATGTGTTTGTGCTGGAACAACAAAACCGAGAGGTAGAGAGAGAGAGACCAACTCTATATGCTGAAATGGTGAAGGAAAAGCAAGGGAAAGCTTGGGAAAAGTGGAGAGTTGAAGAGAGGCTCAAAGCTCAACAAGAAATTCAACAAATCAAGACTCCAAGTAAGGTATTGAAACTTAAATCTTGTAGATAAATCATCTAGCAACAAAAATAAAAAAGGATTTGGGTTCAATTTCATATCATTTGGAAGAAATTAGCAAGAAGATGAAAAAAATTGAGCTAGGCTCATGTTTATGGAAATGAATTATTTTGAGTTTAATTTTTGTAATCTTGCATGAGATTAAGTTCCATTGTTACATGCATGAGGGAAATCTATGAGTATTTGAATCTATATCTACATGTATCATGGATTTTGAAGAAATTGAGCCATTTAAGTTCATATTTTGAAGAGAAAAATGAAATGTTTTATGAACATCAAGTTTATGAAAATTTAGAGTTAATCCTAATGCTAGATAAAGTTTTGATTTTATAATTAGATTTTTACTCCATGCATGTAATGTAATTTAAAATTTTATTTAAATTCAACGTATTTTGGAACATCCATGATTATGAATTAAGTTGAGGTTACAAATTAAGTTAAGTTCAAGATTATGGAAATTAGTTGAAAAATTTATAAGAATATAAAATTAGTAATTTTGATGTCAATTTCATACATATGAATGATTTTATAAGGAGTTTATGACTTTAATTTCATGTTTTGAAGAAAAATAGAAGACCTTGAAGTCAATTTTATGTAACTAAAAAGAAAATGAGAAATTAGAGCCATATTCAATTTATGAAGATTAATTTAGAGATTAATCACCTTGGGTTTGAAATTTGGCTTGATATGGAGAAAATGAGTTGAAACTAAATTTAGGCAATTGGAGTATGATTTTGAATAAATGATTTCTAATTGAGAGTGTTTACTAAATCATACAATGGTTCTCCATATTTATGTACTAAAAATACATGTTTTGAGGCTTTGAATATCAAATTTGAACTTCAATTACAATTCTGGAAATTCCAGAATTTACACTGTCCGTCTCGCTCGAGCGTGAAAATCGAGCTTCCAGAAGTTTTTTCAAAATTTTACAGTCTGCTCGAGTGACCAAAGTGGCGCCCGAGCGAAGTGGCGCTCGAGCGAAGACCCTATTTTCAGCAATTTTTGACTAACTCATTTAAATGCATAATTGCATCCAAATGACATTCTAAATATTCTTAGGCACTAATTGGACCCGCATAGTCATGGAATAAACTAGAAACACATAAAGAGAGTTGAATTAAGATGAAATGAATATTAAACGGTGCTTCTATTGTGTTTTTGTTATGTGGTTTATATAGGTGGGCATCCAAGGCCTTATATCGACTTAATCCACTGTGAGTAACAATGTTGTAAAGCTATGTTCGATTACAATTATTTTCTGAATGATTAACTGTATTGCTTCCTGAAATGATATTGTTTACCGAATGAATGTTTTTCCTATTTTACAAACTGTATCCATAGCAATTGACTGTTACTGCTACTGCTACTGTTACTGTTACTATTACAGAGATCTCTGTCAGTTCCAATGTTTGAAACTAATACTGTTTACTGTTTCGATGGCCATCAACTAACTGTTCGGTCTATTAAGACCTACTGTACTGTTCTGCTATTGGATGTATTACACATGACTGCTATGATTTCTAAATGACTGATATGACATGAAATATGAGACATTTATTGAATATTGATCTATAGATGATATTGACCGTTTTAATTACTGAAAGGACATTCATTCTTAACCCCTTTACACGTTCGTTATTCATTGGGTTTTAGCTCACAGCTTATTATATATATGTAGGTGGTCAGGCATCGGAGCAAAGTTAGCAGCGTCAGCCTAATTTCGTTTTGTCAAGCCAACCTACTGTGCCTCACCACGAGATTCCAAACCGTTATTGTCAAGGCTTTGTTTTGGGTGGCCTAAATCCACCTCTTTTGAATGAATGCCATATGGAGTCAAGTGAATATTTCATAAGCTATTTTGGCTTTGGGATTTAATTCTCCAACATGTCTTTTATTTTGTACTTAGACGTGTTTTGGACTTCAGTTTTTACATATATAGTGAATATGGACTTGGACTTATGTCTGTATTGACATATATATATATATATAAGTGGTTTGTGCATTTAAGTCCTCACAACTCTTTGGACATTATGTTTTAATATTTACAGGCTTCCGCCGACCCCTCCTACTGTATAATTGCTATTACTGTTAAACAGGCCTTTGGTAATCACGGATTACTGGCCGGTTACGATGCTATACCCTTAGGGGCGGGTTTTGGTCATGATAGAGTGGTATCAGAGCACGAGTTAATTTCTTACACACGTGTCCATTGAGCATTGGAATGTTTAGAACATATTTCAGTTTCATGCATATAGAAAGTAAGTAATAAGTGGTGCATTCAGGAATGTGTATATACATTTGTGTGATATGTTTAAGTGTTGAAACTAAGAATTAAGAGCTATTGTGAGCTTTTGATAATTATAAGGACACTGGAATGTGTTGAATCAATTTAGCAATGGGCTTAAAAGCTAACAATTATGGTGAAATTTCTAAAATTTCTACTGTTATAAGGAAATCAGAATATTTGACTAGTACATTGGTGAGTCTAAGTATGTTGATTTGTGGAAACACAGTGTTATGTAGAATTAGAATCTTTAATGAAAGTCATGAAAGCTATATGGGTTATATGTCAAATTGGACTATGAGAATATTTGGAAAATTGAGAAATTTGATGACCAATGAAATATGTGAAACTATGGTAACTGAGGATGAGAGAGTTATTTGGTATGTAAGATGGCCTATTTTGGAGGGAACCAATTATGTGAAATATTAAATCGTAGAGTCTCATGCATTCGTTGAATGACCTTGAAAGTCCGATTGGAATCACGTTTGGCCAGCGTAGCTTCGAATTAGAAATTCTTGGTAAATTCCGTGGGAATGAATAGGTTGCCTTACCAGTGTCCTTATATGCCTATATGTGTATGTCTACCTGTATATGATATGTGCTTTGTGTTATAAACTAAGTCAGTTAAATTAACCCAAGTATTATCAACCATCTTCTTATGTTTAACCTTATCTTCTATCATTAGGAAAAGATGGTGAAAAGTGTGAAGGAAGTGGAGGTTGAATCCTTATCAAAGCATCTAGACAAAGTAGAAGAAGTGTTAGAGAATATGATGAAAGTTATGCAAACGTGTCATGAGAAAATACAAGATCAAAAGAAAAATCTAAGTGTGAAGTCAATGAAAGGACCAAAGAATATAATTGAGAGTGTTGTGATAGGAGAGACGAGCAATCCTAACCAAGGTCGTAAAAGAAGTAAGCTTGCCCCAACATGTTCAATATGTCTCAAACGTCATAAGCAATTATGTTATCGACTCTCGGGGGGAATGCTTCAGATGTGAAGAAATAGGGCATCAAGTGAAAGATTGTCCAAAACCTAAGGGATGTTCTAAGTCAATCAAATTATAAGTGAGTACGTAATGGAGAAATCAACAAGAACATGATTAGTATATGCAAGCAATTTTAAATTCGGTATGTCTGCATATGCTTGATTTGATTTAAAAGTAAATAAATAATGCATTTCTTTCTGGCTTATCAAGATTGTTTAGTCTAACGAAATTATATGCTTTTGAGAACTTGTTTGAATAGGAGGGAAGATGTACTTCCCGTTAGGAGACTGACACCTATGAGAATTAGAAAGGAAAGACTCAAGTAACCCATCTATTTGACTATTTAGAATTCAACCTGAGATTGCTGAAGAATGTTAGACTATCACCAAGACTTAAGCTAAGTAAAAGACTAAAAGAATTAAGCTAATAAAAATTTTCCTGCTTAGTATCCGAACAAGTAAGACTCAATTTACCGCAATCATATCGTTATTGAACTTTCTAATAACATTGAAAAGGATGGTATTTACGTTACTCCAACATAGTAATATTCCTACATGAATGATAGATAAAGTTAGAAACCATTACTTGGATATTTGAGACTTAACTCGAAATTGTCAAACTTAGAAAAACGAGATCAAGATTTAAAATGATTTGGAAAATAGGTCAAATAAGATCACAATGATAACATTAGAAGAGGAAGAAAGGAGAAGAAGATCTAGTAATTTTGTATCTGAATAATGGTTAAAAAGGAATGATGATGTGATCTTATAGACACATAATTGAATTTTGATTTTGAATCCTAACTTAGATAGCCTAACTCATTATAAAGAAATTAAACTCTAGTGTTAAACGGAAGAAGGATATTGTAATGAGAAATAAGAAAATGAATTTCATTAGAATGACAATTGTATATTTCTTAATGGACCTTTGGAAACATAAGAATTTCAGTCGGCTAATTGTAATGATTTGAGAAAGTTAAAAGTTTTGCCCTAAGTTACCGTGTGACAATTTATCAAAGTCAATGAATATATCTCTGTAGGTCTAAGGCTTCAATGATGGCTACACGACCTTCAGAGAAAGACCAGATAAGAATGGTAGTTCGTAATCTGCACGGGAAATTGCTACAGAAAATGATAGTCCTACCCTTGTTCACATTCACCAAGCTCCATGAGATGGGAGTCCAGATTGAAGACGCTATGAAACAGAGGTTGATAACTGATGAGAAAGAGCAGGCCAAGAGGCCTTTGTACGTAGTTCCAATGCAACCACTAGTGAAAGCACAGCTGCGCGACTGTCTGATGTGAGTGTTGTCACCACTACAACCAAGACCACCAATCCCTTCGCCAATACAACTCCATAAACTTCAAACAACTAGGCCCGATCACAGAGGACCTTTACCCCATTCTATATGCCTTTATCACAAGCCCTGAGGGTGCTGATCAAAAAGGGGCACCTCAAGCCGTTAGAGCCTCGCCCACTACCCGATCCTTTCCTACTAAAACACAACCCAGCCAAGTATTGTGCGTTTCACCCACAGCACGGTCACGGCACTGACCAATGCTTCAGGCTGCATCATGAGATTCAAGATTTCATCGACAACAAAGTGATCGCACCACCCCAAAAGTCAAATGTAACTACCAAACCTCTCCCAGCCCACAATCAAGTTCCTCCACCTCACAACCTGAACTTAATCCATACACTGGCCCTCCCCTACGACCCCAGCGTATATATTACCCCTTCCCACCTACCAAGGTCGATTATGTTCATTCTTGAAAGCACAGATTTGTGTATAATGGACACATCCTCACTTCAACCTAAACTCGTAGTGGTGACAATGGCAGAAGAAGGGAGGCTGGCCTTAGAGGAGAGTATCAGTCCACTACCTGAATGCTTTGATGATTTGACTGAGGAGGAGTATGTTCCATGCTGTTACATTGTACCAGTTGATCAAGTCAAGCCAAAAGTGGCATTGCCAACAACAATAGAGGTCGATGTGGTTAGAGAGGATGGCCCGAGCCAAGGTTTGGATGATCTGGAGGAATTAAAGGAGGACTTAGACAATTTGTAATTCTATGACGAACAAGATTAAAGGGACGTGCAGATTGACTGGTTTGATTTGAATGGGTCGACGGACAACTCGGGGTGGTTAAGTGATGAACCTAACAGAGAGGAAGGAACTCAACCAAAACTTGAAGAAAAAGGAAGCAAGAATAGCTATGGTGGCTGGAATGGTCGAGGAAAAAGGGAAACTACCGGAGAGCACCGGCATAAAAAATTTAGCTCAGGAATTGGGCATGTAAGTACTGCTAATACAGAATAGTAAGCCGCGTTAAAGCGTTTTGTGCCAAAAAGGAATAAAAACAAACAGGAAGTTGGAAAAGCCCAACACCTTGCGGGGGATACTTCTGATGTGAGAATGATTAGACCGGAGCCGAACAATTGTTTGTCAGTTGCCGGAGGAGTATGATAAAAGGATGATGATTTACTTCTGGCCAACACCAATGAAGATTGGGGTGGATCCCTGCCAGACAACACATGGTACGCTGAAGAGATAAACCATATGACTAGAAGTGGGCGGTATTTCAAGCCACCGCACTTGGACAAAGCTGAGGCCTCTGGGAAAGATAGGGAGGTTGAGAAGCAGAAGGAGAAGCAGAAGGAGAAGCAGTTGGAGGAAGAGGCAGTGTTGAAACAACTAAAGAAAATCCAAGCCGATATTTCAATCTAGGGTCTGCTCATGGCTTCTCGAGTACATCAACAGGCTGTATTATTAGCAATGGACAAAGCCAAACTGTCCATTGACACCACCCCAGAACAGCTTGTGGGATTAGTTTTCCTAGGTGGTGCCAGTCCAACCCTAACCTTCTCCGAGAAGGAACTGTCGCTAGAAGGCTCAACACACAACAAACCTTTGTACATATCTATTGAGTACAGAGAAAAATGGATGCTAGTGGTATTGGTCAATACTGGGTCGGCTATCAATGTCTGTCCGTCGCGCACAACTTATGCCATCTGTCTAAAACCAGCAGATTTCGTATCTACAGCCTAAGTGATTCGAGCATATGACAACACAAGCAGGGAGGTGATGGGCATAGTACAAATTCCGAGTTCAGGTGAGCCCAGCTCAACAGGACTTCGGTTTCATGTCCTAGATGTCCCGGCCACCTTTAACTTACTGCTAGGAAGACCCTGGCTGCACCTGGTGAAAGTAATCTCTTTTACCCTCCACCAAATGCTGAAATACCCTCACAGGAAGGATATGGCTATTGTGTTCAGAAATTTGTCCATACATCCTCCGCAAGAGGTAACTACACTAGTATTGGAAATCGACCATGGCGAGGGGGATATATTCCTTTCAGGGTTTACTCTGGCCGAGGCCCGGACAGTGCAAAACATCTTGGCAGCTGATGAGGACTTATATGTCAGTGCCTAATCAATCTATTTCATGAACAAGCTCCAACATGCGCCAAGAATGGGGTTAGGAAGAAATGGGCAGAAAAGTGTCACAACATTAGCCGATGTGCCACATAATCCATATGCCTTTGGTCTTGACTATACGCCCTCCAAAGAGGATTGGGTCAGGAGATGAGAAGAGATGGCAGGCAGAGCTAGAGCCAAGTAGGCCAAGAAACGCTATGAGCTTGTTTACAGGACAATCCGGGAGACACTAAATGGTCA